CTCCTCCCCTCTCACCCCTCATCAAATCACGTGTGTCAGAGGGGAGGGAAGAGAGGGTTGGTGAGGAAGAGGTGGGCGGGGTAGCGGTGGAAGGCACACGTCACAACACTCTATAATCCGCTCTTAATTTGGCACCAAACTAACCCCTTAACTCTCCCCCCTTTAATCCCCTTATGTTGCTTCACCCCCTCCCTCCTCCCTCCATCCCTCACCTCACGCCCATCACCGCCCCTCCCTCACGCCCATCCCCGCCACTGCCGCCTCTCGACTTCATTTTCCTTCCCATCCATTGCCACCTTTCCCACACAGTCTCCTCTATACTCTTCCACAAGCCAAATACATTTCCTCTTTCACCCATCGCCGCCCATCCCTCACCCATCGCCGCCCCTCCCCCGTCCACAACCGCCCAACGCCGCCCTCCCTCATCCACCGCCGCCCCTCCCCGCCCACCGCCGCCCCTCCTCCCAGCTTCCGGCAGTCACTGAACCCCCAATTACTGCTACAGTTACGGTGCTCGCCAGGGGGTCGCTAATTACTGCCCCCCCTCCATCACCCCCTCCTGCGTGAGAGGGGGGGAGGAGGGGGGAGAGAGAATTGGGGTGTGAAGGGGTAAATCTGGGAGTGAAAATAAGAGAATAAAGAGAAAGGAAAGAGAGAGAATTAAAGGGACAAACAGAGAGAGAGAGAGAGAGAGAGAGATGCTAGGCAGGTAGGCTAGGTGTGTCGTGTACCTGTCGTTAATTACAGGTGGGTTAAGCCAACTTTCCATCACCTGTCATAGCCTTTACCTCATCACTCATCATACTCAAAGGGTTAAGTTCGTCGTCTTCGAAAGGGTTAAACCATTAACCCCAAAAAGTTTAAATCCTCATCAAGAGGATTAAACCATCATCCTCAAAAGGGTTAAACCATCATCTTCAAAAGGGTTAAACCATCATCCTCAAAAGAGTTAAACCATTATCCCCAAAAAGTTTAAATCCTCATCAAGAGGATTAAACCATCATCCTCAAAAGGGTTAAACCATCATCCTCAAAGGGTTTAAACCATCGTCCCTAAAAAAACACTAAAAAATATTCCTGTCAACCCAGCGTTCGTGTTTGAGCTAAAATTTTCTATATTTACAAAAAAAAATAAAGTTAGGCAGAACAAAATAGCCGCCATTTAGTGAACATTTATGTAATAGTATTGCAGCGGTGACCAGAAACTGCGGTGATTTGGCCAACAAAATAATTGAAGCTATTTACATTGTCGATATATAGGTAGATATTTTTTCTCTTTATTTGTATTGTTGTTTTTTTCCCTCTTATTATTTATTATTATTATTATTATTATTATTATTATTATTATTATTATTATTATTATTATTATTATTATTATTATTATTATTATTATTATTATTATTATTGTTGTTGTTGTTGTTATATCCAAAAAATCCCATGACATTATTTTGAAGTATATAATATTACCATAACACCTAACCGATAGTTTATAACAATTTCACCACTAGATTATAAATGATTTTCAATACACTTGGATCATTTTCCCAACTGATTCACTCATCTCGAAAATCATCGGCCATGTACTGTATAATTCTAATGCATAATAACCGTCAGTAATGTTTAATAATATTCTCTTAAATGTGTGTGTGTGAGAGAGAGAGAGAGAGAGAGAGAGAGAGAGAGAGAGAGAGCAACATACCTCTAGCCCATTAAAAGTAAAGGTACAGCTCTCAATAAAAAAACCTAAATGTATCGATGTTAAATGTTTTTCTTTTATATAAACCGGAATTAATCTGAATATTTTTCTTATTTATCTTAAGTAAACCACAATAAAAAAAAAACATTTAAATTTCAAAACAAATTACAATTTTCTGTTGACATAAATAACTTTTCCTAATTCAAGATTATAAATTATTTTTATATACAGGAAAATATAATTGAAAAAATAAATAACCGACGTTCAAATGTTATTAAAATTTTCAAGTTAAAAAAATACAGAAATTAAACTACATAAACATTGCAATTTTTATCTCCAAACTAAAAAAAAAAATCAATTGTTAGCCAGTTAGAATTTTTCCCTCAATTAAATTCTCCTATATTGACGAGGTGTGTGTCGGCCATGACGTCACGGATCTCTTGTGTGTGTCTGCCTTTAGCGATTCAGTTCAGAAATCTTTCCTGCCAACACTCCTCTCGCCCTCTGCTGTAATTGGTAGAATGTGTCCCTGGTGTTTTTACTGGTATATGCGATTGGTATATTGTGTAACTGGTGTTTTATTAGCATATATGATTGGTATGGTATATAGGGCTGGTGTTGTTATATTACTGGTGTTGTTATATTACTGGTGTTGTTATATTACTGGTGTTGTTATATTACTGGTGTTGTTATATTACTGGTGTTGTTATATTACTGGTGTTATATTACTGATGTTGTTATTACTGGTGTTGTTATATTACTGGTGTTGTTATATTACTGGTGTTGTCATATTACTGGTGTTGTTATATTACTGGTGTTGTTATATTACTGGTGTTATATTACTGGTGTTGTTATATTACTGGTGTTATATTACTGATGTTGTTATATTACTGTTGTTATAATACTGGTGTTGTCATATTACTGGTGTTGTTATATTACTGGTGTTGTTATATTACTGGTGTTGTTATATTACTGAATTGTTGTTATATTACTGGTGTTATATTTTGATGTTACATTATATTACTGAATTGTTGTTATATTACTGGTGTTGTCATATTACTGGTGTTGTTATAATACTGGTGTTGTTACTGTTACTGGTGTTGTTATATTACTGGTGTTGTTATATTACTGGTGTTGTTATATTACTGGTGTTGTTATATTACCGGTGTTGTTATATTACCGGTGTTGTTATATTACTGGTGTTGTTATATTACTGGTGTTGTTATATTACTGGTGTTGTTATATTACTGGTGTTGTTATATTACCGGTGTTGTTATATTACCGGTGTTGTTATATTACTGGTGTTGTTATATTACCGGTGTTGTTATATTACTGGTGTTGTTATATTACTGGTGTTGTTATATTACTGGTGTTGTTATATTACTGGTGTTGTTATATTACTGGTGTTGTTATATTACTGGTGTTGTTATATTACCGGTGTTGTTATATTACTGGTGTTGTTATATTACTGGTGTTGTTATATTACTGGTGTTGTTATATTACTGGTGTTGTTATATTACTGGTGTTGTTATTTATATTACTGGTGTTGTTATATTACTGGTGTTGTTATATTACTGGTGTTGCTATATTACTGGTGTTGTTATATTGCTGGTGTTGTTATATTACTGGTGTTGTTATATTACTGGTATTTGTTATATTACTGGTGTTATTTATAATACTGGTGTTGCTATAATACTGGTGTTGTTATATTACTGGTGCTGTTTATTACTGGTGTTGTTATATTACTGGTGTTGTTATATTACTGGTGTTGTTATATTACTGGTGTTGTTATATTACCGGTGTTGTTATATTACCGGTGTTGTTATATTACTGGTGTTGTTATATTACTGGTGTTGTTATATTACTGGTGTTGTTATATTACTGGTGTTGTTATATTACTGGTGCTGTTATATTACTGGTGTTGCTATATTACTGGTATGTGTAGAACTGTACAGGGATGTGTAGGACTGTGTAGAGATGTGTGTAGGACTGCGTGTAGGGATGTGTATAGGGACTGTTTGGGGATGTGTGTGTAGGAGTGTGTGTAGGGATGTGTAGGAGTGTGTCTATGAGTGTGTAGGGATGTGTGGTGGGATGTGTGTAGGACTGTGTAGAGATGTGTGTAGGAGTGAGTGTAGGGATTTGTGTTGGACTGTGTAGAGATGTGTGTAGGACTGTGTGAGAGATGTGTGTGTGGGACTGTGTGTGTAGAGATGTGTGTAGGACTGTGTGTAGGGATGTGTATAAGACTGTTTGGGGATGTGTGTGTGAGGTGTGTAGGGATGTGTAGGAGTGTGTGTATGAGTGTGTAGGGATGTGTGTGGGACTGTGTGAGATGTGTGTGGAGTGTGTTTAGGGATGTGTTGGACTGTGTAGAGAGATGTGTGTAGGACTGTGTGAGATGTGTGTAGGGTGTGTGTGGGGATGTGTGTAGGGTGTGTAGGGGATGTGGTGGGATGTGTGGGACTGTGTAGAGATGTGTGTGTGGGGTGTGTAGAGATGTGTGTGGGGTGTGTGGGGATGTGTGTGGGAGTGTGTGTGTAGGGTGTGTGGGGGTGTGTGGTGGGATGTGTGTAGGACTGTGTAGAGATGTGTGTAGGAGTGTGTGTAGAGATGTGTGTAGGAGTGTGTGTGGGGATGTGTGTAGGAGTGTGTGTAGGAGTGTGTAGGGATGTGTGATGGGATGTGTGTAGGACTGTGTAGAGATGTGTGTTGGACTGTGTAGAGATGTGTGTAGGAGTGTGTGTAGGGATGTGTGTGGGACTTAGGATACCCCTTCACTTAGCTTTCCTTCCACCTCTGTCTTGTAGGATTCTGTAGCGCTCTCTCTCTTTCACTTTCTCTTCTACCTCTTTCTCCCTCTCACACTTTCTCTCTCTGGCATCCTAACCTAACCTAACCTAACCTAACCTAACCTAATTTCCCCAGGTGAATTAAGCTGGGGTGTCTAATCTTCAGGTGAGCTATTTCTTTCATTGTTTTCTAAAGGATTCTAAAATTCTATATCCTGACGGGCACCTTCACTTTCAGGGCCTCCTTCAGGATACCTCGAGGTCCTTCTGAAGGTGAAATAAAATGTGGATGGAGGAATGAAGGAAGAGGAGGAGGTGAAGAAGGAAGGAGGAGGAGAAGAAGAAGAAGAAGAAGAGAGAAAGGAGACTGATGAGAGGGGCTGAAACAAGGAACAAGAGAGAGAAAATGAAGAGGAGAAGAGAATGGGAGGAGGGGAGGGGAAATGGGGGGATCCGAGAGGGAAATGATGAGCAGGTAGAGAGGGAGGGAAGGGAAGAGGAACTGAGAGAAGTATGGAGGAAAGGGGTCAGGAAGGAAATGGAGATGAAGGTGAAGGAGAGAGGAGGGAAGGGGAAGAATGTAGGAGGGAGAGGGGTTAATGGTGGAAGAAGGAGAGAGGGAGGAAGAAGAGGTGCGGAGGGGGGTAATGAGTAAGGGAGGTGATAGAGGGAGAGAAGGAGGAAGGAGTGTGAGGGGATAGGGAGGAAGGGAGTGACGGGAGGGAGAGAAGGAGGCAGGGACGGAGAAGGGGGGAGGACTAGAGGAGAGAGAGAGAGAGGGGGAGAGGGTGAATGGTGAATGTATGAGGGAGGAAGGGAGGAAGGGAGGGAGGGAGGGAGGGAGGAGGGAGGGAGGGAGGGGAGGAGGGTACACACTTGTAACAAGATCATCATCATCGTGAGAGTGTTACGTGAAGGCTTTGTTTGGCGGCGCCCTCCTCCCTCCCTGTCACCCCTCCTCCCTGTCTACTCACCTCCCTTCCATTCTTCCGCCACCCCTTCTATCTTTCTCTCCCTCTTTCTCCCTCAGTGCCACCCTCCCTCTCTTCCCTCTACCCCCTTTCTTCCTCCTCCCTCTTTCACACTTTATCCTCTCTTCCCTCCCCTCCCTCCACTTCCCTACGTCCTGCCAACTGCCTCTGCCATTCCCTGCCACCTCCCAACCCTCACCTCCCTCCCCTCTCCAGCCCGCCCCGCCCCTCCACCTACCTTCCTCCCTCCACCATCCCCACCTACCACCACCCTCGCCTCCACCTTTCCTGTCGTCCGGCGGTTCACACGCCCACAGGTTAGGTCAGGTTTGATTAAGTTTAGGTTAGGTGTGTGTGTGTGTGTGTGTGTGTGTGTGTGTGTGTGTGTGTGTGTGTGTGTGTGTGTGTGTGTGTGTGTGTGTGTGTGTGTGTGCCTGTTTACCCTGTCAGTTTGTCTGTTTATCTGAGGACGAAATAGCATCCATACTATAACACAAGTATAACTCAGAGATATTAATCCCGGTTTACATTATAGTTCCATCATCTATAAATAACCTGTATAGAGAGTTGAAGGTCACTAGTGAATCTCGAGGTCAAAAGGTTATCAGAAAGGTCAAAGGTTATTAGAAAGGTCAAAGGTTAATAGAAAGGTCAAAGGTTATTAATACCCCAAAACCGAACTTTTCTTTCACACACACACACACACACACACACACACACACACACGCACACACACACGGGCAGGGAAATAATCTTACTCTCTTATGGGGAAGAAATTTTTTGGAGGGAAGTGAATTTTTTTCTTCTTTCGCAACTTGTAAATGGGAATAAAATTTGTGAAGGTAAATATAGACTTTCTTGTATGTATGTATGTATGTATGTATGTATGTATGCATGTATGTATGTATGTATGTATGTATGTATGTATGAAACTTTTACCCTAGGCACTTTCTTGGTAACACAAATTTCCATAGATTTTTCCCTTGATCAAACTTTTATTCCCTGACTACACTTTTTTCCCTAAATCCTTTCGTGGTAAAAATTTTCCACTCAGATGAGTTATATTATTCCTAAATATTTTCCCGGTCATATATATTTCCCCTAATGGCACCAGTTCTTTCCCTAGAATTTTCCCTTAACGACACCATTTTCCCCCATCTATCTCCAAAATTGACATCCATTTTCAACCTACCCTGTTTTGTTTCTATCAAAAATTTCCCTAATTAATTCTTTCTCCTTTCTTCTCTCTTCCTACTCTTCTTTCATCTCCCCTTCATTATCAACACCAACACCCCACTTCCCACTTCCTCCTTCTTTCCTTCTTACTTCAGAAAATCCTCTCTCTTTTTCTAAACAATTTCCTCCCTACCATCTCTCTCCCTCCTCCTCTTCATTCTCCCCTACACTTCTCCCCCACCACTTCCTCTACGTCATATCCGGGGGGGCTGTTCCCGCGTCGCTGATTGGCTGTTACCTCCGATTGCCTATTTGCGCCCGCGACTTCGTTAACCTCAAGGGAGGAGGGTGGAGAAGGTGTCTTTCTGAGGGGGCGAGATATTTTACCCGGTAGAGCTACAGTCTTCTGAATGTTCCAATATTTTTGTTAATATCTAAATACGTAAATATAAACTGCTGGGGATGATTTATTTACAATTTATTTACGCAATTAAAAAAAAAATAATCGATTTTAAGGTGAGGAGAATATTTCGAGACGCCCCCGGGATAAAAAATAAATAAAAAATAAAATTCATTAAAAAAATCATATCGCCAAAGGTTCGTTTCCCCTAGCGGTTAAGTTGCCAAATAGTCGAAAACGAATCATTAATAACAACAAAAATCCCATCACCTTGAAAATTAAATACAAAATTACGCTGAACTATTAGTGAACATGATAACAATACGTAGTTTATGAAGTTGATGTATAGATAAAATAAGAATAAGAGTAAGAAATAGGGAGAGGATTACGGAGGTGTGGCGGATGGGGAGGGGAGAGGGGGAGAGCAGGGGCGTTAGGCAGGTATACCCCGTTGCCGCGCGCCCTCAGGTGTGGCTGCTGATGTCTGTACTGCCGTCTATGTCTGTATTGTTAGTTGTTGTATACGTTCATGTGTGTTCGTATATGTAGGTGTTTTCACGTCATTTGGATATATATGACATTTTGAGTGTGTGTGTGTGTGTGTGTGTGTGTGTGTGTGTGTGTGTGTGTTAGGATACTTCTATGCTTCACCTAAATATATACAGGCATTTTAATTTGATCTCACACGACACGTATATATGTATATTGGATAAGATGTTTTCGCATGTATGTATGTATGTATGTATATCTGTATATATACTGTATATGTGCGTATCCTACCTTACTACCGTACACATATGTTGACTCTTCATGTATATTTGTGAGTTTGTTATAGAAGTTACGTTATAAATTACCACCATGATGCTTGCCTGTGTCTGTACGTCTCTGTCTCTAAATATTCATGACTCTACCCAATGCCCGCCTCTATCTGGCTCTATCGTGTCATCTATATTTAATTGTTAATAGACACAGTACAGTAATTCATTATAAAGCCAATAATATAATCACTCGTTGTCTTAGGTTTCAAAAAAAAAAAAAGTCCACCATCCGCGAAAACCATCCATCACTAAGGACATGACACCGGTACTGATCTGACTAAACGCAGCTCAAAACCTCCGACCAGCGCACAGTGTGGTAGAGGAAGTTAGCTGAGGCGGCACAGTACTTTGTTCACCCCGAGAGTGAGGGGGGGCGTGGCCAGAGCACATAAGTCCCGCCCACCGCTCCTGCCGCAGGTGTGAGGGAGCGTCTCATTCTCACCTGCAGTAATGAGAGCCTTGTGCTGCCTAAGAAACTTAATTTACGGTGTCTTAACTTGCTTTAGCTTAACATACTTGAGGAAGAGAGAGAGAGAGAGAGAGAGAGAGAGAGAGAGAGAGAGAGAGAGAGAGAGTGAATGTGTATGTGAGAGAAAAGAGTGAGTTTTACCTACCTGTAACTCCTCAGTCCTCAGGTGTGAGGGTGAGTGAAGGTGTTTGTGCCCAGCTGCTCATCTCAGTCGTCATCTGCAGAAGGAAATGATCTCGTTTTACATTATAAAGTTTTATTCTGATAACCTGGACGATAAATTATGAGTTTATTTCATTTTTCTCAAGAGAATTTCCCGTGTAAGGATTTTATTATTAACATTATTACTATTATTATTTTTATTACTATTGTTTATATTATTACCATTAATATTATTATTATTATTATTATTATTATTATTATTATTATTATTATTATTATTATTATTATTATTATTATTATTATTATTATTATTATTATTATTATTATTATTATTATTATTATGGTTGGTCCAGTAGAAATAATTAATAAATAAACAAAAAGAAACGGATGAATAAAACAGAAATTAATGCAAATACAATTAATAATGAGACAGTTTAATACATTAATAAACATTGAGATATAAGATAAGAGACATAATTGTGATTAAAAAACATTTACTGACAACATAAATGTATACGTATATAAACATTATGCCAATGTTAACACAAATGTTTATAGAAATAGACGTTTTGAATTAGTTAGGAATATATTTTGATTTTGAGCACTTTAGGTTACTTTACATAGATGATTTTAAATGTTTTCATCTTAGTTTTAACTGATGTCTAGTAGTGTGTGTGTGTGTGGTTAAGTTAGGTTCGATTAAGTTAAGTTGTTCGATTAGATTAGAATAGGACAAGTTAGGTTAGGTTATGCTAGGTTGGATTAAATAGGTTAGGTTAGGTTAGATTTGGATAAGTTAGGTTAGGTTATGTTAGGTTGGATTAAATTGATTAGGTTTGGTTAGGTTAAATAGGTTAGGTTAGGTTAGGTTAGGTATAATTAAATAGATTAAGTGATGTAACTTAGGTAAGGTGTGTGGGAGATCATCTCCTTCCTCCACCTTCCAAGACGAAGGATCCACAAGTAGGACACATCCTTGAAGGCAGAGGAGGCGAGGTGTGAAAAGAGGGCAACCACACGACTTGTTAAGACCAAGAAGACCATTCAATTATAAGCGGCGCCCCTGCCTTTGATGCCCCCTCCCCCTTGCCCCCTTTCCCCTCCCTCTTCTTTTCTATCCCCTTCCCCCCTGCCTCCCTTCCCCCTCCACCTGCATTCCCTCCCTCAGGTGTACTTCTTATCTCATTATATATTCAACCATTACCTGTCGTAGCTCTCCACTAACCAACACCAACTCACAATTTCATACTGTTAACACATCTTGTATATATGTTAATAGATGCGTAAAAGACGATTACCTGCATTACCTGTGTTGTGATTATTAAAACACCTGGTGGTTCTGGAGGAGAGGGGGGAGGGGGGTGTTTGAAGTCACCTGTGGGGGTCTGGGGGGGGGGTATGTGTGGAGGGAGAAGGGTGTAGGGAGGGGGTGAGGAGGGGGTGTTGGTGGTGAATGCAGGAGGAGGTGCTGTGATGTGGGTCTCAAGCACCTGGGGCCATAGTTAGGCAGTTTGCTGGGAGGACCTCAAGGGCTTCCCGCCAAAAAGGAGTTTTAGCACTTTGGGGTTCCTAGTGAGGCCATAATTATTTCCTCACTCTTTCATGTACCAACAAACTCCTGTGCTTTTTTTTTCCTTCTTTCTTTTTAAATTCATTATAAATCAAGACTTTTAAAGGGATGCCAATTTTTTTATTCATCAGCGAACGTTCTCCGAGGCGTGAAAAGAAGGAAGAAGAAGAAGAGTGTTAAGTGAGTCTGCGTCCAATTCTCTTATTGGCTGCCTCCGCCTCTAACGGATCTGACGTCACATCCGGCTTTCGCAGGGCGTGGCCTGATTGGCTGTCATTTCGCTGGGCTCCATTATGGGCTTCTCACAGAAAACGCACAGACGATCACAAACAAAACAAAAGAGGTGCAGTCACATCCTGAATTATCCACGTCATCCCGGCCCATCAGATCACCTCACAAATATAAAACGATAACATAATCACTAATATTCACCAACAAAGATAAATTTATTATTCATCAAGAGAAATAAAAAATAATGAATCAAAATAAGTAAATAAAACTGACCAGGTCCATCTAACACCCACCTAAAAAAAACCAATTCCCGCCCCACCCGCTGATTGGTCATTGTCCTCGGGGAAAATTGCGCGCCAATTTTGAACTTCCCGCCGGAGACAATAGTTCTAAATTAACAATGGCCTGGACTGAGGATTCTATAGACCCGGAGACAATTTGTGGGTAATTTATCGCCAAGATTCACTAAGCCAGGAGGAAAATGAGGGCGAGGAGGAAGAGGAGGAGGAAGCGGAAGAGGAGGAGGAGGAAGCGGAGGAGGAAGAAAAGGAAGAAACAGGTGTAATTCTCTTTGTTTCGATAAAGACAAGACGAATTTAATTTATTATATGTTTATCAATTAATTATATCCTTGTTTCATTACATACACACTTTATAATTACTTACATATTATTTACTAAATCAATTTTACAATTATTAATTTCATTATACGTCCTCTCTCTCTCTCTCTCTCTCTCTCTCTCTCTCTCTCTCTCTCTCTCTCTACCTAATCATCTCCCAAAACAAAGCAATACCCAGAAGCTATATTTAATGACTTCTTAATTAGATAATAATTTAATTCACTATCTCTTCCCTCACCATCGGGTGGGGGAGGTATATATCCACCAGGCAGCATTAATGTTTGTTTGTCTTATAATGTCAACCTCAGTGACACTTATTCAACCACATTACAAATCAATTAACCACAGCGCTAATTCAATCACAATATCACCCAGTTAATCATAATGCCACCTAGTTAACTACAGTGGCACTGTGGTTAACTATAGTGGCACTGTGGTTAACTATAGTGGCACTGTGGTTAACTATAGTGGCACTGTGGTTAACTATGCGCCATTGTGGTCTACTAAATAGCATTGTGGTTAAATAAATGGCACTTTGGCTTAGAGGATATTTTAACCCCAAAATTATAACCAGAAAAACCAGGAGTAACCCCAGGAACCAGGAGAGTCATCCTCAGGAGTCACACCCCCAGGAGAGTCATCCCCAGGAGTCACACCCCCAGGAGAGTCATCCTCAGGAGTCACACCCCCAGGAGAGTCATCCCCAGGAGTCACACCCCCAGGAGAGTCATCCTCAGGAGTCACACCCCCAGGAGAGTCATCCTCAGAGTCACACCCCCAGGAGAGTCATCCCCAGGAGTCACACCCCAGGAGAGTCACCCTCAGGAGTCACACCCCCAGGAGAGTCATCCCCAGGAGTCACACCCCAGGAGAGTCATCTCAGGAGTCACACCCCAGGAGAGTCATCCCCAGGAGTCACACCCCAGGAGAGTCATCCTCAGGAGTCACACCCCCAGGAGAGTCATCCCCAGGAGTCACACCCCCAGGAGAGTCATCCTCAGGAGTCACACCCCCAGGAGAGTCATCCCCAGGAGTCACACCCCCAGGAGAGTCATCCTCAGGAGTCACACCCCCAGGAGAGTCATCCCCAGGAGTCACACCCCCAGGAGAGTCATCCCCAGGAGTCACACCCCAGGAGAGTCATCCCCAGGAGTCACACCCCCAGGAGAGTCATCCCCAGGAGTCACACCCCAGGAGAGTCATCCCCAGGAGTCACACCCCCAGGAGAGTCATCCTCAGAGTCACACCCCGGAGAGTCATCCCCAGGAGTCACACCCCAGGAGAGTCATCCTCAGGAGTCACACCCCCAGGAGAGTCATCCCCAGGAGTCACACCCCCAGGAGAGTCATCCTCAGGAGTCACACCCCCAGGAGAGTCATCCCCAGGAGTCACACCCCCAGGAGAGTCATCCTCAGGAGTCACACCCCCAGGAGAGTCATCCCCAGGAGTCACACCCCCAGGAGAGTCATCCCCAGGAGTCACACCCCCAGGAGAGTCATCCCCAGGAGTCACACCCCAGGAGAGTCATCCCCAGGAGTCACACCCCAGGAGAGTCATCCCCAGGAGTCACACCCCAGGAGAGTCATCCCCAGGAGTCACACCCCCAGGAGAGTCATCTCCCAGGAGTCACACCCCAGGAGAGTCATCCCCAGGAGAGTCATCCTCAGGAGTCACACCCCAGGAGAGTCATCCCAGGAGTCACACCCCAGGAGAGTCATCCCCAGGAGTCACACCCCCAGGAGAGTCATCCTCAGAGTCACACCCCAGGAGAGTCATCCTCAGGAGTCACACCCCAGGAGAGTCATCCCCAGGAGTCACACCCCCAGGAGAGTCATCCCCAGGATCACACCCCAGGAGAGTCATCCCCAGGAGTCACACCCCCAGGAGAGTCATCCCAGGAGTCACACCCCAGGAGAGTCATCCTCAGGAGTCACACCCCCAGGAGAGTCATCCCAGGAGTCACACCCCCAGGAGAGTCATCCTCAGGAGTCACACCCCCAGGAGAGTCATCCCCAGGAGTCACACCCCAGGAGAGTCATCCCCAGAGTCACACCCCCAGGAGAGTCATCCCCAGGAGTCACACCCCAGGAGAGTCATCCCCAGGAGTCACACCCCAGGAGAGTCATCCCCAGGAGTCACACCCCAGGAGAGTCATCTCAGGAGTCACACCCCAGGAGAGTCATCTCAGGAGTCACACCCCAGGAGAGTCATCCCCAGGAGTCACACCCCCAGGAGAGTCATCCCCGAGAGTCACACCCCCAGGAGAGTCATCCCCAGGAGTCACACCCCCAGGAGAGTCATCCCAGGAGTCACACCCCAGGAGAGTCATCCTCAGGAGTCACACCCCAGGAGAGTCATCCCCAGGAGTCACACCCCAGGAGAGTCATCCCAGGAGTCCACACCCCAGGAGAGTCATCCCCAGGAGTCACACCCCAGGAGAGTCATCCCCAGAGTCACACCCCCAGGAGAGTCACCCCCAGGAGTCCACACACCCAGGAGTCACCACCAGGAGCCAGAGATTCACCCACAGGAACCAGGAGTCACTCCCCAGGAGAGTTACACACCCAGGAGTCACACCCCCACAGGAAAGTCACACCCCACAGGAGAGTCACACCCCCAGGAGAGTCACACCCCCACAGGAGAGTCACACCCCAGGAGAGTCACACACCCAGGAGTCACACCCCACAGGAGTCACACCCCCACAGGAGAGTCACTCCCCAGGAGAGTCACACACCCAGGAGTCACACCCCCACAGGATAGTCACACCCCAGGAGAGTCACACCCCCACAGGAGAGTCACACCCCGGAGAGTCACACACCCAGGAGTCACACCCCACAGGAGTCACACCCCCACAGGAGAGTCACCCCCCAGGAGCCCACACCCAGGAGTCACACCCCACAGGAAAGTCACACCCCAGGAGTCACCCCCAGGAACCAGGAGATTCACCCACAGGAACCAGGAGTCCCCCCAGGAGAGTCACACCCCACAGGAGAGTCACACCCCAGGAGAACAAACACCCAGGAGTCACACCCCACAGGAGTCACACCCCACAGGAGAGTCACCTCCCAGGAGAGTCACACACGCAGGAGTCACACCCCACAGGAAAGTCACACCCCAGGAGAGTCACACCCCACAGGAGAGTCACCTCCCAGGAGAGTCACACACCCAGGAGACACACCCCAGGAACCAGGAGATTCACCCACAGGAACCAGGAGTCACCCCCAGGAGAGTCACACCCACAGGAGAGTCACACTCAGAGACTCCACACACCCAGGAGTCACACCCCACAGGAGTCACACCCCACAGGAGTCACACCCAGGGAGAGTCACACACCCAGGAGTCACACCCCACAGGAGAGTCACACCCCAGGAGAGTCACACACCCAGGAGTCATACCCCACACAGGAGTCACACCCCCAGGAGAGTCACACTCAGGAGAGTCACACCCACAGGAGTCACACTCCAGAGAGTCACACACCAAGGAGTCACAACCCCACAGGAGAGTCACACCACAGGAGTCACACAGGAGAGTCACACACCAGGATCACACCCCCAGGAGAGTCACACCAGGAGTCACACACCCAGGAGTCACACCCCACAGGAAAGTCACACCCCAGGAGAGTCACATACCAGGAGTCACACCCCACAGGAGAGTCACACCCCACAGGAGTCACACCCCCAGGAGAGCCACACCCCAAAGGAGTCACCCCAGAGGTCACCCCCAGGAGAGTCACCCCCAGAACCAGGAGATTCACCCACAGGAACCAGGAGTCACCCCCAGGAGAGTCACACCCCACAGGAGAGTCACACACCCCCACAGGAGAGTCAGGAGTCACACCCCCACAGGAGAGTCACACCCCCACAGGAGAGTCACACCCCACAGGAGAGTCACACTATAGGAGAGTCACACCCCCACAGGAGAGTCACCCCAGGAGAGTCACACCCCCTAGTAATGGACAGCGGCTAAATTCTTCACATCCCATCTTAAAAATTCATAGTCAAGGAGGTGGACAAAAATGGTAAGGACATGTTTGTGTTGATTCAAGAGTTAACATGCAAAGTTCGACCAAAATGTTGTTATCATAAAAATAGCATTTCAGAGGAGTAAGAATTGGAAATGTGTTGTTGTGTGTGTGTGTGTGTGTGTGTGTGTGTGTGTGTGTGTGTGTGTGTGTGTGTGTGTGTGTGTTGATGCGTGTGGACAGGTTGGTATAGTGGACAGAAATTCAGATTACGAAAATTCCTCATAGACAATTTCCCACTATATGAAATCACGTCAAGACAAAGACCACCCGACAATGTTTATGTTTATAGAAAATGGGGGATATATATTTCAGGGGTACTAATATCATGGTGGTACAAATATCATGAACAATTAATATTCCATGGGGTACAATATCACCGAGGTACAGATATAACGTTACATCAGGCCTTTCCCCCAGAACGACAATGTAGTGGATATAAAACACTTATGTCAGGTTATGTCAGGATAAATGTGTGTAAATTGTTGTTTGGGCTAGAGTGTACTGTAGAGGAGGTGTGAAAGCCGCTTATTCACCTTAGACTGCTGGGTGTGAAAGCCCGAGGTGTTAAGAGTGGTTTTGGGTGTTTACAATAACAGCTCGGCGTTTCAGTTTCATTATTATTACTATTTTCGGTCATAACTCACACAGGTCCCCTAGTTTGGCGGGGACGGGGTCGGAGGAGGCACTGAACGTTCCTCAGTGGACCTGTATCCCACTGAATTTTGCTCTTTACGTAAGGGCTTTTGTGGGGGCGCGTTAGGCCACAAAGCCCCATCAGCCGCGTGTGAGTGTCGGTTAAAACGCCCCGATGCCTGAGGGCGCCAGTGTCGCCCCAGTCCAAGATGGCGGAGGGCGAAACAAAAGGCGCGAAACCAAGGCGTCTCCTTCCTGCCCGTGGCGGCTGTTGATTGGCTGATATTATTATTCGTTTTAATATATTGCGGTGGTGGCGGAGTGTATGTGTGTGTGTGAAGGGAAGAGTGACAGGTGGGTGACACGGCGCTGCCCCCCGGCCATGACCCGCTAACACACTCCTCTTCTGAAGTGTTTGAATGTTTGTCTCTCAACGATTACGGTGTAGAGAGCGTTGTGTTATTATCTTCAATTCCTTTAAAATTAACCTTCTCACACCATAAAAAAATCTATCCATAATATGGGTTTACGGCAAAAAGGTGAAAATAATAAGGTAAAAAAGGTAAAAATAAACTCTTGGCGTCAGTGATGGTGTGGTGGGTGTAGGTTCCTGTGGTAGGCGCCGACGGAGGGAGGGAGGGAGGGAGGCAGGAGGTAGGTGCCCCGGCGTGTGTGGCAGTGCCCGCAGGGGGGAGGAAGGAGCCCAAACCAGCGTCCCGGCGTGTATTGTCCCCGGCAACTGGGGCGCTCGTGTCAATTTGCCAAGTGCATTTTTGGCTGATGATACGATGGTCGCCTGCTGTAGCTGGCTGGAGGGGGAAGGAGGGAGGGGGGAAGGAGGAGGGAGGGATATTGTTGCCTCACCTGATACAGTTTTTAGAGCGCTGGGATTGCCACTGGCGTCGCTGAGGGAAGTAAAGCAGAGAGGCAGCTCGTAAGACACTGATAACATGATAGACGCTCCCTGGGGCGGTTCATCTACCAGGGAGACTCACCAGCGACTTTGGTCTCACAAGAATTCCTCCCTCGCGGCCGTAATTTCAGGTATGAATTTTAGGAACACGGATGGCGCCGCTCTGGAGGGGAATATCTTGATGACATTTTTTCTAATCACTTTTGTCTTTACTTATGACACCGCAAGTAAGATGATAATGCTCGCCTCCTGGTATAAAAAAAGTTATATACATGGCGTTAACTTAGAAGATAATAGTATCGACCATTACACTTATTTTAATGATGGTGTTACGTTATGCTGTGTTGTGGTGGTAGTTGGGGTCTTGAATAACTGGGGTACTGTTTATTTCTCTCTGATTCAATAATTTATCTCTCTCATTTTCTCTCTCAATATTTGTATTACCGATTATTTGGTTTTCTCAACGGACACAAAACGCGACTCACGATATACCTGTGTGATTCTCTCCCTGGGGGCTAACATCACTCTCCTCCATCTCCCTGGAAGTCAACATCACCCTCCCTCCCTTCCTCCCTCCCGGGTGGAATGGATGGCTGTGTAAATTTGAACTTTTAAAATTTTGCCACGTGCAGATAGTTTATTGTGCACCCCACGCTCATCCTATGAGCGGTAGCGCAAAAGGATTACAGAGTAGAGTTCACCAAGGGTGTGTAGAACAGTCCTCAGTGTTCAAAATATTATGGCATTGAATGTTACAAAGTATTTCAAATGCATTGTTTGTTTAGTTCTATACATAAAGGGTAACTTATTCACAACTGCGTGAGTACAGGCGTGTGAGGCAGTATATCTGACCACACACTTTCTTATTCACATTTACGTGGAGGTATTCAAGCACATTGTGTGTTTGGTTCTACACATAGGAGCTGATATAACTACTTAGTGCAAAAAAGTGGATACAATCTTAATATGTCGGCTATCTTGCCATTAGAGATGAAGTGTTGTGCCATTTCACAGTGTGCTTGGACC